ATCCTCCTCAAAGATACTTCCTCCTCTTCCTCGCATCTTGTTCTTTGGGAAACCTTCAAAATGAAAACAGGAGATTTGTGTCTGCACAAAAACATTGTACAGAGGAGGTCAATCTTATTTTCTATTTCCTATATTCTCCCTAGTTTTATTTTTTTATTTCCTAGAACTTAAACAAAACTCCAGTTTTGATGCATATCTGTTGATAATGAACCAAAGCTGCTGAAATAGTGAGTATGATTGTTAGAAAAATATTCCTGTCATCAGATCTCAGTCAGCTTCATTGCAGCTGAACACCGTGTTACACTGAACATCACATCAGCTAGTGGACATAAATACAGTACAGTAATATTATATTCACAAAATACTAACAATAATATGTTCATCTTACTTGTGAAAAGTTATCCCCCCAGACCGGACGTCAACGGTCCGTCGATTAGAACAGAAATAAGCTGCGAAGTGCTGAGACATCTTCTGCTTTAACTAAATAAGGACGACCGTTCCAAAATGGCGCACGAAAATCCTGCGCCGCAGCAGCCGATGCGGGATCTAGTGTTTATATCTATGGTCACAACTTATAGCTGAATGGTTCACATTATTGTCTACTTTTGGTATTTTAGCTGCAAGACTCGATCCAACGTTCACAAAATGATGATTAAATCCATTTACAATTTCATTTTCATCCTTCAAAAAATATTGTGAAATACCTGTTTTTCTTTATGACTTTTCAGAACACTATTTATTACTTGCCATGTAGCTTTCATATCACCATTACTTTTATTTAATAAATCACTATAATATTCCTTCTTGTGTTTCCTTATAATCCCTACCAATTTATTTTTATACTTCTTATATTTCTCTTCAGCCTCTTGTGTTCTCAATTTCAAGAAACATGTATACAAATAATTCTTTTTTTTTACAAGCATTTCTCAACCCTTTCGTCATCCATGGTTGATCAACAACATTTCTCTTTGTATAATTATTTTGCACACAATTCTTTTCATACAGAGACCCCAAAATATTCATAAACTCATCATATGATCTGTTCACATCATCAACATACACGTCTTTCCAGCTTTGTTTATGTAAATCATCTTTTAATTTGTCCATTGCTTTTTTTGATGTGTTTATTGTTTTTTTCTTAATTGTGATTTCTTTTGTAATGCTTTGATCATTTTTATAAATCATGAAAACTGGTAAGTGATCACTCAAATCACTCGTTAAAATACCTCCCATCACATCCCCATTTGTTACATTTGTGAAAATATTATCGATTATTGTAGCACTATGAGTTGTAATTCTTGTTGGTTTTGATATTAACAGATAAAGATTTAAACTATACAATGAATTTGTAAATGTACTGATGTTATTTGAATCTGTTTTATTTCCCAGGTCAATATTAAAGTCTCCACACAAAAAAATGCTTTTATTAAAACTCTTGTCCAATAGTTGTACAATTTTATCAGTGAATATTTCTATATTTGATCCTGGAGATCGATATACACAACTTATCAATATGTTTTTATCATTCTTGTTTATTATTTCTATTGTTATTATTTCCATGATATAATTAACAATTATTGACATTTCATTAATTAATATACATTTTATTTCATTTTTAACAAGTAGAGCCACTCCACCACCTCTTTTGTTGCTTCTGTTCACATGATATAATTCATACCTTCCATGTGAACATTATTTGTGTTTTCATCGTTGAGCCATGTCTCTGACAGTGCTATTATTGTAAAGGTTCTGTTTAGCTGTTTTAAATAATCTGTTATTTTTGATATATTTGCATTTATACTTCTACTATTAAAGTGAATAATAGAGAGACCTCCATTTGTTATATTGATGTCATTAAACTGTTCTTCATTGTAAAATTCACAGTCTTTTATTGCAGGGAAAAAATTTGTATCAATCACATCTTCAACATTGTATATTTTAAACTCTAAGTCTTCGTATGTTGCCATGTTTTAATGTATTTGTTCATTTTATATTTTGTTAATTTCTTGTTTGTGAAGTTGTGTCAATGATTTATCATCTGTCCTCACCTGAGCTCATTTTAGACTTTCCAGATCTTTCAGGTCTTTTATTATTTTAGCCTGAGATCCTTCCTCTAGTTTGATCCAGATGTTTCCATTTCTTGTCCAAGTCGATGCTATTTTTTTCAACCACCTTGCTTCACGTGCAATATTTCCATTTTTTTTAGTTAGATGTTCATTTATGTAAACATTTGTTCCCTTCAGTTTTTTTGCTTGCATTATTACCTTGTTTCTTGATTTCCTGCTAATGAACTTGATGACTATGGATGGTTTGGCTTTATCTGATTTGTTGGGCAGGGTGTGACAGATTGAAATGTCCTCATGTTCGATGTCAATGTCTTTGTTTTGTAAAAAATTCACTACTTGCTCCTCCAGAGTCTGTAGTTCTTCCTGTGGTACATCTTCTGTAATGTTAGTACCAGCAACAACTCTTGCATAAGTTCGGTTCCTAACTTCCAGTCCAGTGATCACCAAGTTGTCTATTTTTGTGTATTGTTCCATGTCGTCAACTTTTTGTTCCAGTTCAGCTATTTTTCTGTCTTTATTAGTCATCAGTTCTTTCAATTGTCTCACTTCTTCAAACAGTCCTGTCAGTAAATCACATTTAGCTGATACTTTAGTCAGTTCAGCACTCAATTTAGTCAGTTCAGCACTCAAAAAGTTCAAAGATTTTTTAACTTCCTCCATATCTTCTGTATTATTTTCCGACATTTGTCTCTTATCTCTGTGTTTGCTCGGCATTACTCACGATACTTCTGGATTATTGGTCTCAACTCTCAGAAGCACAGGATCTAGCCACGAGGTTCACAGGCTCATGTTGTTAGCTTATGTTGTTAGTCGAGGCCTAGCCAGGTCTAGCCGAGGCCTAGAGGCAACCACCTCCAGGTCCCACGCGGTCTCACGATTCACTCGGTCCAGCAGTTCGCAGCCCCAACGGTGACAGACCAGGTCCCGGTTGCAACAGCTCCCAGATCCCACAGCTGTAGTTTAGCTTCCTCGGATTCAACGGCTCGCAGGTCCAATCGGCGGCAGACCGGGTCTCCTCCGTAAACAGCTCAGTTCCAGCAGCTCGCAGGTCCAATCGACGGAGGACCGGGTCTCCGACGTAAACTGCTCCGTTTCAGCGGCTCGCAGGTCCAAACAGCGGCAGACCGGGTCTCCGACGTAAACTGCTCCGTTTCAGCGGCTCACAGGTCCAGCAGCGGCGGACAGGGTCTCCGCCGTAAACGGCTCGGTTTCAGCGGCTCGCAGGTCCAAACGGCGACGGACTGGGTCTCCGCTGGCCTCACTAGCCGAAGCAGCTCTCTGGCCAGCTTGTTAGCCAAACGTTGATACTTAAATAACTTAAATACTTAAGACCTGTTTTTTTTTAAGTGTTAATACAATTTCTATACAAGTTTAAACATGGGATATTTTTCAATCAAGATACACTTAATTAACTTTTTTTTTTTATTTCAACTTCCAAAAATTTGTTTTGAGAAGATTTACAGTATCAAAAACCACTTTAAAACTTTACCTATTCACACAATGAACTCAATAAATGTTAAAATAAGTTTGTCCTCACCCGTCATCCTGCCCGGCACCTCTTTACAGAATAGGAAGTCCTCCAAAAGCCTCCAACAGGGGTAGCACACCAAAATAATTAATTGAGTCACAGCAGAAATATCTGTGGATTCATCCAGCTGAATAGAAAATTGCTCACATGAACACAGTCTATCTAGTGGCTGTAACAGTATGTCAGCTTAGAGTTCTTCAGTTATTCTCCTTAAAGTGTCATTGGAAAGTGGTACAGCTTTAAGCTTATTAGCTGCCTCTGCACCCAGGACAACTTCACACATCTCCACTGCTGTTAGGAGAATAAGTTCTTGTCCAGTCGAGGGTGGCTCCTTACTTTCTGTGATGCATTGAGCCACTAAATAAGAAGCCAGCTGTACTTTCTGTGAAATTATAACCAAGTTCACCATTCGTTTGTTGTACGTAGTCGTCACCCTTTTACTGAAAAAAATTCTTAATTTTTATCGTTGAACTCCGGGTGCTTCGTAGTCAGATGTTGTTAAAGTTTAGCTTGGCTGGCTTCAGAGCTTCATTCACCTGAAGGCATGGGACACATATTGGTCTTCCATCGCTGCTCTCGATGAAACCAAACACAATATAACTTTCATTATATTTTTGTAGTTTAGCTGGTTTTGGATTTCTGCACTTGATGAAGTTGCCAGTTTTAAATACCTTTCCATCTCCACTAAATGCTAAGCAGCAGAAAGAACTGTGCAGACTTTATGACCACAAAGCTTTATGATGAATGTCATAATCACATCAAAGTATTGATCGGCTCAGAGCTGAGGTAGGCGGGAGTTATTGGTTCACTAGGTTCATCTGATTGGTACCCATATTATTGTTCCCCCCAACAAGGAGTGCACCCCGCCTGGTCAACAGAACCGAGCACTGCCTACCCAACCGAACACCCCCCCCCCCCCCCCTTATCGTGGAAGAATTATGCACCCTGTCAAGGGATGTAACAGGGGGAAACGCTGCATGTGTATTTATGCACTTTTTAAAAATTTGACTTAGCTAAAAACAATGCAAATTACAAAATAGGGTTAAATCATGTCATCTCGACTTGGGGGTCTGCAAAAAAACAAAAAAATATATATATTTTTTCTCTCCTTCTCTCTCATGGACCCCAGCCTGCAGCTCGCAGACCCTTGGGGTCCGGGTGCCCCAGTTTGAGAACCCCTGGTCTAGACCTTTGCCCTTATCTTTAAATCATATTTGACCCTTTGAATTTTAAGTTTGGGAAACCCTGAAACAAATTGATCTGTGCAGAACTTGAGATTTTTCTCCTACGTAGGTACCAATGTTCAGATAAAAGTATAATTAACTGTGTGCAGTCATAAGCCAAGCAAGGGAAAGAAAAGAACTTTACAAATTAAAATTCCTATAAAAATGCAGACATATTTACAACTAGACTCTTCTTAAAGAGAAAGATCTTAGATGTTTAGAAATTTCATTCAATTTTAGTCCATATATGAGTGGATTAATCAAAGGATGATACAGAAATATTTGCAATGTCATTACAAAGCGAGCAGTTTTAGGAAAATTTGACTCAACTCGAGCTATAATTACATCATACACAGTCAAATAAGAGCTGTTGATTAAAACCAACAAGTGAGGTATGCAAGTTTCAGCAACTTTTCTTTTATGTGTTTTAAAATTTTGATAAGATATTTGAAATATCTTTGCATATGTAAAAACGGTGAAGAGCATTGGAAGTATTGCAAGATCTAGTAAAGAAACAAGCCCAAACACAGTAAGGAATTTTGGTCTGACACACTGAAGTGTGAAAACTGCATTGTTACAAATTATTCCATTCAAAGTTAAACTACATAGTTTAGCTTTAGCACTCACCATTGCTGTTACTGTAATATGACAAGCAGGAAATAACCAAGCTAAAATTAGGACATTTTTCACTGTGGTTTTTGTCATAATCGTATGATACTTCAAAGGTTTACATATGGCCACATACCTATCAAAAGACATGGCTGCCAAAAGAATAAATTCTGTGCCACCTAAAGTATAAAACATAAAAAACTGGAAGATACAAGCTGAATATGATATAATCTGTTTTTCAGATAAAATGTCAGTGAGGAGCTTAGGGTAAATGATAATGCTGCTAAGAACAATGGTAAATAACAAAGCTGCAATAAAGATGTACATGGGCTTATGGAGGCTTTTGTTTGACCATATTAGATATAGAATAATACAATTTGTACAGATAATCAAGACATATACTATAAACAAGATGGTAAAGTATAAATACCTGTATTTGTTCATGTCCATATACCCATCCAAAGTTATATAGGAAATATTTACCTCATTCTCCATAATTCTTTTGCAATTGTTTGTTCAATAAAAAATGAATTTCTATAGTTATACCAATAACCAGTCTGTGCTGAGTGTCTTTTTTCCAACCTGACTTTAAAAACACTTTGTGCTTTTTCATCATCTGCAGAGTCAGTATTGTGAGTCTGCAGGACATTTTTATTAGAACAGTTCTCCCTCTAAAGAATGAATCTCTGGTGACCGGTTATGCAGTTTTGGTGTTTCCTTTATTGAACTTTATCATTACACAATCTTAGCATTCAACACCAATTAAGATCATGTGTGAGCAACAAAAAACAGAGTCATTTCTACATTTTAGACTTTTTTTTTTTATATTGCAGTTTTTTTTTGTTTGTTTTTTTCTTGTTTGACTATGTATTTACCAAGCAATAGCGGTCCACCAGCCAGGATAGTTCCAGTGTCAATACCAATTGGGGAAGGCGTCATCAGGAACGTTAATTGTCATAAAATCTATGAAGCAACATGATGAGCAGCATACATCTTCAAATCAAACAAATAAATGGTTTGAGAGTATCGATGAAAAGTGTAGGAGTCAGAAGAAGTTACACTGTCTGTGGATCAGTACGATACATATAGTATAGGGTTCCAAGAGAAGAACTGTCAGATGTGTTGGAGAATATAGGTTCAGGGACCCCTTAAAGGAGAGAAAAAGTTTCAGGGACCCCCTCATAACCCTCATATTATTAAATAATTTTCTTCTTTTGTCTCTTAAATGCAGTCCTCAAATAGACCCTTTTCACATGACGTCAGACAACTTCCTTTTTGACTCGGTGCTGTGGATCATTACTTCTGGGTCTATTCTCCCTTGGGAGACCTGTCTGGAAACTTAACGGAATTTCATTCCTTCAACCTTTATTTATAAAGGTTATATTACAAGATATAGCGCAAGGTAAGGTTAATAAAAACAGTATTTATGTGTTTGTTAGCTGTGGTAATGTTATAGATCATTGCAGCAACTTTAACCACAGTAGCTAAAATATACAACACGGGCTGTCAGTGCTCTAACGTTTAAAGGTTTACTAGCTATATTAACTTTAATAAAAATAGTATTTATGTGTTAGTTAGCTGCAGTAAAATTATCCATCATTATCAATTTACCATTCTGTAACTGTGTCAGGAAACAGCCTCCAATTGTAAAGTAAGCTAGCTAGCAGCTAACGGGTTGCTAAACTCTACACTGCTGCTGCCTGTCAGTGCTGTAACATTAAAATGTTTAACTTTATCTATTAATGTAAAATCTCTGACATCTTCCATCACTGTTGTTTAGAATAGCATTTTAAATATTGAATTAAAAACTATATGTCAAATGTTGTGAAATAAAATATATTTGTGTGCTTAATTCTTTATTTTTATGTATGGGTGAAACTTATTTACTCTTCAACAAAGTCTGTGTAAGGCTGAAGAGGACAGGCATTTTCTGTTATCAGTTCCTTTGTTTAAACTCAGCAGAAAACTGAGCACGATGGGGGGAGGTGAACAGAACTTTCTTGTTGATGTTATAGAGGTCTCACCCTCTGATTGGTTTAGAAAGCTGCGTTGCTATGGATACGAGGTTTTACGACCGGCCAGGACTAATGGATACATTCCAGACGATAAGTTATATGACAGTTGACCTCATATACGTGTAGGTTGCAAGGAGTAGTTAGTGTATTCTGAGGAATAGGACAGATTGAACTTTCTTTGTTCTGATTATCTGAAACTGTTAAATGGGATGCTGCAGTCAAGAGTTATTTAGTGAGTTTTATTGTCTGCATTAAACATGGTTTAACACTCTGGTGAAGTTTGCTTCAGTTTTCATATATATAAAGTAAGTATCTAGGATGAACATTTTTAATTAGATAAAAGTTGTGATTATATAGTTGAAGAAAGACATGCACACTTAATAAAAACGACATTGATATGTTTCATAGGAAAATATGAAACTCCAACAACACTTAGAAGAAAAACTGTGAAAGTTAGACAAAGGAACATTTTGGGGGAGGTTGTAAGTTCTGTGTTGCTCCAAACGGGGCAGAACCACAGACAGGTTATAAAAGCATGAAGCATCTCCCCCCTCAGCAGAGAGAAACAGAACCGCCCAGAGCAGAATCAGAACCATGCAGCACGAGCTGCAAACAACTGTGCAGGTCGTATTGGTCAGAATGAATGCAAATTCATTTAATCCATTTACTTCATCACTTTTATTTTATTTTTGCAATAATTACTAACCAAAATTGTATTCCTAAAAATGTATCTTGTGACTATTATCTATTAAATATACGTGTGAACTTGAAATAGCGACTCTGTCCTATTTTTAGTGTAACTTAGTTTTTCCTGTACGACAAGCCATAACAACGAACTCGGGCGGAGCGAAGACGCAAATCAACACAAACCATTTCCATGTTCTGATGATTAATAATTTTTCTTTTTACTTTCTTCTTGTGTCCATCTTTCTCAGCAGCAGCTCATCTAACCAGCATGACACAGTCATCAAGACTTTACTGCAGTGTGCCATGTTGTTCCAGTAATAAACAAAAAACACCGTATTTGAGTTTCCACAATTTTCCCGTGGACAAAGAAAAATGTTCCCGTTGGGTGAGAGTGATCAGGAGAGATGAAAGGCCAACTTTTAAAATCCTTCGTGGGAGCACCCATGCAGTCTGCACTTTGACCCAGAAGATCTAAATTCATCAGCCAGTGGAAGAACCCGGATCAGACAAGGAGCAGTGCCATCTAGATTTCACTGGAATGATCGGGGGAAATGGAGGGAGGACAGTGCTGAACATTTTTAAAAATAAACAAAAATGTGTCATGACCATGAAGTGTCTAATGTCCCACCTCTAGGGAGACGCTCACAAGCTCGTGAGTCAGTTTACCTGTGAGCAAGAAAGTGTCTTGTGCTGCTGGCCAGGATGACTCCAGGAGATACCTGACCCCGGGAACTGTACAGAGGAGGCATCGCCTGCAGGTGCCGTGGTAAAAAATCATAACTCTGCCTGACATCCTTCTCCAGGTTAGTAGTACCCCCAATCACCAGAATGCAAACCCCCAGGGGTCAAGGGAACACAATTTGAGAACCATTGCACTAAACAAAAATAATGTAATATAATATGGTATATTTAACAGCAGTCTGAGCATGAGTTTTATATTGTTGTCTGTACTTTATATGTTCTGTCTGGAACAGGTCCCTCTTGTAAATGAGTCCTCAAAAGACCCTTAGCACTAGAGTGACTAGATTTTCAAGATCCTGAGGACAAACCCCATCCTTCTCCTCAACAATTTGTGGGCCATTAACTTGTTTTAAATTAGCACACAAGTAACTCAGACACACCCACCTCACCAGACTGCATTCCAATGTCCAATCCAGGGAGCGGGGGATTTAGAAGCCAGGTTCACTTGCGCAAAAAAGCGCAGCCTTAGTCAAAGTAGTGACAAGACAAGAGAAGACAACTCTGATGGCTCCAATTAGCATCCTTTCATTTGTAAATGTGGCCATTGCCTTAGGAATCAGCAGGGGAGAGATAAGCTGAACTCACACAAACGTCCGTCTAATACTCCAAACAGATGCGAAATCAACTGGTTATATTTTGAACTTATATCTCTTGGTGGCACGTTGGTGCACATTTTGAACAAATTGAAGTCGATTTACCGTTTATTTTTCAATTGGTTTGGCTCATTTCTTGAAACCGAGATGACATTCTCAAAACACCATGTGAAGCACAACTCAAGAGACTTTGCATTTTGAGGTTACTGACAATTTGTATGAAACACATATTTTGTTTTGAAGCATACATGAAGTGTTTTGGGATAGATGCATTATCCAGGTCATTTTGCCAAATGAACAAAACAAAACAAAAGTTTGCAAAACATACAATCTGTTTCAAGATATATGCAAAAGTTTTTCTAAAAGATTTTAGTAATGTTTTTCTTTCAGAAAAAAGAGAAGTGGGTTCAAAATGACAGTTTAGAAAAAAAAAACCAAATTAATTGTGAGAAGAAGGCACGCAAGGAGAAACTGCTTCAGCAACAACCTTCCACACCCAGCCCTGGCAAAAGGGCAAAGTGTCAGATCAAACATCGATGCACGAACAATTGTGCAACTGTGAGATGCGTCAACTGCTACAAATACACATGTGGCAAATGTACCAGGGACATACCCTGGCAGTGCCAGGTATGTTTCGACAGTGCAGATGGACTGCTGAGTGAGTGCTGAAATGCCAGTCACACAAGGAGGACATGCCACTCACACACACGCAGCCCCCCCACTAGGCATAGTGTAAATATGTGTAGAATTGTTTTATCCCTTGTATTTTTATGACAAAAATAAAAAGCATGGAAACAAATAACGGTTGTTGTTTTTTATATTTCTCATGCTGAAGTTTTAGTCCTCTTGACTTGCACACAATTGCTTATGGTCTGTGCTTTTTTGCTCAAAACTAAGCTAAATACTATATATGTCAAAACAAAATATGTGTTTCATACAAATTGTCAGTAACCTCAAAATGCAAAGTCTCTTGAGTTGTGTTTCACATGGTGTTTTGAGAATGTCATCTCGGTTTCAAGAAATGAGCCAAACCAATTGAAAAATAAACGGTAAATCGACTTCAATTTGTTCAAAATGTGTAACAACGTGCCACCAATATATATATATATATATAAAATCTTCATATTATAAAATACAATAAACTGAATATAACTAACTAGAAACTAAATGGCTAAACTCAATGGAAAACAGTTAGTTGGGAGTTAAGCGTGCCCCCTCCTGTGGTGCACCAGTAATGGCCTTATTTACAAAACAAAAGCGCCTGTTAACAGCTCATTATAGGATGTTAGCTAAAATCCTTCAGGTCACTCGACCCGTCTCTGGGTTCCAAAGGTAGAAATGTTAAATGACCCTTCTCTGGGACTTCTAGTGTTAAAACACCACTCGTTCAATGGGTCTAGTGAACAGAACCGGCTCAGACACAGAACCCCCCTCTGCTACAATTTAAACAGAATAAAGA